AATAATTTTATAATCAAAAATGCATGGTTTCGCTCTATCATTTGTGCTATATTAATACTGTATTTGTACAAAATTTTTTGTAACTTTACTTATAACCTAAAATTTTTAATTCGGGTCTTGTCTATATGTGATCTGTGTCATATTTTAATATTAAAATTCTCTGATTGGCTAGCAGATCATCAATTAATTTATTTTTTTTAAAAAATCAATATTATATATATCAAAACAATTAATATTATTTATTTTCTAAATTAAATAGGAATAATAAATATATAAATACATATATCTTAAAAAATATTTATTTAAACAATACTTTAAAATTATATTTAACTTCTTTACAAGTCTAGTCATTAAAATTTTTTTCTAAATAATATTTATTTTATATACTATTTAGATAAATTTAGAGTAGAATTTTGAGATCAAATATAGTATAGGTTATCTTTTTTAAAAAACTATTTAATTTATTAATTTTATAGATAATTTCTATTTATATACAGGTATTTATATATAGGTATATAAAAAGCCAATCAGATTGCATAATTAGATGTAATATAAAATTATTGCTTTTTCTAAAATATTACTTATATCTTAAAATTTCGCTTATAAAACTACCTTTTGGATTCTAATAAAAAAAATTTATTGTGAAATTTTAGTATAAGATATAATATGCCTAATTATAAATACACTCTTAACCTAACCTGAAATAGGTATTAATTTTTTGTTTTATAAAAGTTGTTTTGATTTGTATATTACACAGATTTTTAAATTAATATCTGTATATCATATACTACATATACTCTTAGTAATTTTTAATTTTATATAGTTATTTTACAGTATTATTTTTATATTATAATTAATATTTTAATCAATATTAAAAATCTAATTTATCTTATAAATTTGCTTGTAAAGAGATTCAATTGAGTTTTAATAAAGTTAAAGGTATAACCTCACTTTAAGATTCAAAAAAATCTAATTTAAAGATTATATTATAATATAAATTAATTTAAAGATTTTTTTAAGATTTTTATTGAGAGGTGTGGCGATTTAATAAAGTTGGCAAGTTGTTGCACCCCCAAGCAGCAGAACTAGAGTTCAAATCCCATCGGCAACGAAAATTTGAATTATAGAAAATGCATTTAGAAGACTGTATTCTATTGGGTTGTAGAACCTGTAATGGTGGTCGTATCAGCTTGTACTGGGAAGTAGTGAAATATGTAGTGTGATGTATGAGTTATACGAAATCTGAGTGAAACTACCAGATAAATCCAGTGAATTTACAAGATACGGGAGCCTGCTTGGCAAGACCCGAGTGAAGAGATAGCACAGACTTTCGACAGTATTACATAAAGAATTATCATTCAGAAAAAGGAAAAACTGAACAGGACCGAAGTGTCTGGCAAACACTATATCAACCAGGCTGCTGAGTCAGTCAGAGAAAGGGATCCGCCCTTCTAGGCCATCTAGATTGGAAGTTTGAGAAAGCCGGAAGTACAATTGGTAGTCTGTATAGTGGATACTGGGGTTTGGGCAAACTCTATAAGGGCAGGAGAACTAGGAATTGTGCAGTTTAATAGTTAGCTCTAACTGCTAGTATTGGTTTCGACCATAGCAGATAGGTTTTCTGAACCTAATTCAGAAATGTGTAAAATATAGAGGAATTAGAAGGGCATCTACTATGCCTACTTGTAGGGACTCATAGATAACCAACAGGATAACCAAGTCTAGGTAAGATAGTAGGAGGCACTTTGGTATAAAGATACCTAGCTTAGAAATAATTGGTGAGTAGTACTTCTGTAATACTAAAATGTAGATTCATGTGATCAATGACAAATATCAATAAAAGCTTGGTCCTGAAAGACACCTTAACAAAACAAAAAAAAAAAGATTTTTATTAAAGGTAAGCTATATTATATTTAATCTGAATCATGTTTGTTTAAAAATATATAACTTTTTACAAACTTATAAATATAATATTAGAATATACAATTTTTTTTAGATCTGTTTTGTTCTTGATACTCTTCTTATTTTCTTTTTTTTATTTGTATAATTTATTATAATCTTTATATTTCTGTATTTTTTATTTGTGTTTTTTATTTTGTCTTGATGCAGAAAGCTAACCTTCAACTTATAATCAAAGAAACTAAATTTTCAGAAAGTTGAAAATTCAATATAAAGCAAACTGGTTGCTTAAGTGGGTTGCATTTGGGCTTTAATGCTGAGTAAATCTTTATTAACATAGAATTATAGTATAAAAAATATCAGCATTATCAAATATAATTTTCTAATCCTTTCAATTAAAATAATAAAGGTAGGATCACTGAAATAAAAAAGAAATTAACTTTCTAAATAGTTATAATACATATTATAAATGCAGTTTTCTTTTAAGAAACCCTTGAAATAAATAATCAAAAGTAGGTAATCATTGCAATTTACTATTAAAAATAAAGCCCATCATATTGGGTCAAAACTATATTATAATAACAATCAATAATACAGATTTTATGCATAGATCAGCAAAATCGATAGATTACTCCCAAAATATTAGTATTAAAAAAATTGATTCACCTCGCACACTAATAAATTTTTTCTAATAATTTTGCGGCAAAAGATTACTGTAAAACGAAGTTACGATTTTTAGTACGCGAGGTGACTATCGATTTTGCCGATTTATCATAAAATCTGTATTATTAATTTTTTACCATAGATTTGATTATTAATTAGTATATGCAGAACATATGCATGTCGATCGCTCAAATTTCATACGTAGTAAAAAATTTATCCCCGTGACAAATCGTCGTCTGATATAATAAAAACCTTTACCCGGGTCTAGTTATGATTAGTTTGCGCCATAGCTAATCACGTGCCGGTGAAATTTTTAGCTGCCACTTATACTATAGTTAAATGCAACTGATATTAAAACTGTTTTTTTTGATTTCTTTATTTGAAAGATTTAAAATTAGGGTAAAAGGTTAAAGGTTAGAATAAGAGCTATAAGTAAAATTGTTCACGACACTTTTTTTTTATTAGTATTCTAAGATAGGTTTAAGTTTCCGTTTATCATATTTTAAAATACTGGTTTACAATGATAATTATTATTCGTTATATCATGCCATAATAATAAGAGAATACGTATTGAGATTTAAGCAAAAAATCTTATCAGTTATGTGTTGGTCGATCGTAAGCTGTGCCTAAATCAAATTTAACATCCGCCTACCTGGGAAAAATTAGTCATGCATTTAACTTACGTACAATCGTTTATATATATATATATTTATATATAATTTTATTTTATAAACTATATAATTATAAAAAAAATTTTACACCTTTCTCTTTATGTTAATCGATTACAAAACCAAATTTGGTAGAATATACCCGAACATGATTTAAACGTTAATCCTAATGTTAATAATACATTTAGTCTAGATCGAACAAAATTAACATATAGTGAGATAAAAATTAATAATCCATGATCTACGTACGTACGTACGTACCATGCCAGTATGCATGAAAAATTCTGTGCAAGGTTTGTGGCGCAGGCAAATTTTTAAAGCACATTAATTTAAAGTTAGACAATTATATAATAAAATCGCTCAAGAAAAACTTTGTTAGAGAAATAAGTGATTTTGACAAGACGAACATTTGTTTTTGAAATTTCATGGTCGTATTACGTTACACCTAATTCATGAAAGCTGATTTGTAGTTTAGGGAACTGAGCCACAAATGATTTTTCATGCTTTTAGTTAGGGCTGTGACGGACCCCAAATTCTGCCTCCTTTACATTTCGAATTATGCGATAAAATTTTCGAATTATGCTCACCAGAGCTGTAAAATTACCAAATTTCGTAACCTATAGATAAATTACTACGCCTCCGAAAATCCCGACAACCATGCTCATGTGTTCATCAACTGTCTACTATTCGAGATGTTCCGATATCCCTATATTATTTTTAATACCAGCCATTTTATGCGTATGTGGAGATTATGCTATCGCAGATATGCGCTGACCCTTCTATCAATATGGTTTAACATATGAGTGCTGTCAATAGGAAAACCTGTAATCGGGCTTTCAATGTACAGTTAGCCGTCTATGGACAATTTATCATCGGATATTCAATTATATTTCGTGCCTGATATATGGTATGTCCGGCACAATATATAATTGAATATCCGATAGTAGATTGTCCATAGACGGCATGTAGAAAGCCAACTGTACATTGAAAGACCGATAACAGGTTTTCTATTGACAGCACTCATATATACATATAATTTCTCCGTTTGTCTTTTTTGTTAATAAAAATCATTCTCTGAAACATTAAGACATCCATGTCTTAGTCATAGAATGGATCACCAAGTTTAACAGTTAAGGCTAATTCACACCAAGTAGTTAATTTGGTAAGATTTTCATAGGAAAAACAAAATTCACGTCAAATGTCCAATGAATTTTATTGAACAATATTATGATCACAATCAGATTCAAACAAAAAGGCTGAATTATACAAAATGTCTAAAAATACAATTATATAAAATCAATTTAAATTAAAAAGACAAAAAAAAAAATAATAATAATATATTACAATTACTACGAGAATTTAAATATTCAAATTCAAATACTCGAGTAAATTGCATTCTAAAAAAACAGATGAATGGATTTACTGTACTAAAATTAGTACAAAAAACTATTTATTTAATAATTTTCCAAAAAACTATATATTTTAATATTTTTCGCGACAAAATTTTTTTCATAGAAAATTACTATTAAAAATACATCACAAAAGTATACATACGCAAAAAAAAGTTAAAAACTCTATATATAAAAAAAATTTATTTTAATAATATTAAAATAAATGATATTAAACTATTCTATACTTTATAATAAATCTTTTTTATATAAAAAAATTTAAATATATAATTTTTTTTTTTATTTTATAATTTTTTAAAGTGTACTTGATTTAGTACAAAGGTGTAAATCCAAACCATTAATAATAATTTTAAATAATTAATCACCATGGTAAAGATTCTTTACGTTTGACCGGATTAATAACATTCGGAGACAAATTTTCATTGGGATAAGACTCGTTAGGTGCACTATCAAATGGTTCACTTGGTCTTCCTGGTGGATATGTGGCAGAACGAACGGTAGTTGGTATTGAATCAATCGATATCAATGAATCTACATTAATTTTAAGATGTGCCCGCCGTCTGTTAATTTTGCTTTCTTCGTGATGCGAAAGCGCACATTCTGAGAATGTATATAGAACCAAATTAGTTTTTATTTTAAAAACTTTGAAAAAAAAAAAATTTTTTTATAATAAAATGTAAATACCTTGTAAATGTGATTTTAATTCCATTGAATATGAATAATCCAGTGCTGTCCAACCAGAATGGTTTTTAAGAGCAAATTGACATTCCCTTTCAATTAATATAGTAACAGCCTTTAAATTGATAGTCATAATTTAAATTATTATTTATCAACAAATCACAACTTTTTATAAATAAAAAAATATTTACATCGAATCGTTCCCAGGCTGCAGCACTGTTAAAATTATAATAAAAGGCATTAAATTCCATTCAATACTTGATTCAAATATTCTAATCTACTTACTAATGCAGCGCTGTATTTCCTTCGAAATCAGTTTGATTAATGTCAGCCCCATATTCAAGTAAGAGCTATATTAATTGAAATTAGTAAAATTATACATAACATGTGAAAATAATAATTGTGACAGCTTAAGCTGAGATCGGCTAAAGCTGAGGTTTTGAAATATTTTAATATTAAAATTTTAAATTTTTTGGGCCTTTTTTGTTAGGTTAGAGTTTAGGGGTAATTTTAGTAGGTATTATATTATAGATTTAAATAGAGACAATCTCAGCTTCAGCCAATCTCAGCTTTCAGCCGCCACAATAAATATCAAGGAAAGTCAATAACCAACTTTTATAGGTTCAAGGTTACCGTATTTCGCAGCATAAATTAATGCTGTCTGCCCTTGTTTATTGACCATATTAACACTATTCGGAAAAGACGTTATATAGAGTTTCATTATCTATATGCGTATATATACAGTACATATGTATTTTTATGAATTCAGAAAGGTTTATAAATAAATGTAAGAAATACAGCAAATTAAAAACAAAATCAGGATCAATTATTAGTTCATTATTTTCTAATAATGAAGAAGATATAAAAAAACAAATATGAATTTCATTCTTACTTCTACGAAATTATATTGCGAAGCAACCATCAATATTGTATTATTATCAAAATCCTTTTTTAAAAAAAGGGAACAATTAGGAGCATGACCGGAGTAATAAAAAAATAAATATTAAGAAGAAACAGACCAACCTACTCTAGAGAGCTCAACCTTTTCATGGCCATTATTGAGAAGGTATTCCACAACGCGATCATGGCCGTAACGAGTAGCATACATTAAAGTAGTCCTTTGAATTACGACCGAAGAAAACATTAGGTTTAAAATGCGTGGCTCAAAATAAAAACTAAAGGAGGCTTCGGGAAGTACACACGTCATACCAGCCATTCACAGGGTCGGGATTTTGCAAGTTAGTTTTTGCAATCAGCCGTTTAATAAGGTGAAGGTTGCCTTCACAGGCAGCACGGCGTAGCCGCACCCGTGGGTCTTCTACAGGCATAATTAAATACGATACTACGTAATAAACAAGAACTTTTTTTGTAGAAAGCCAGGTTTTTTAAAATTTTTTAACGATTAACGTTAACGTTAGTAACTTGTTAACGTTAAGCTCGAGCATTTAACTTGTTTGTGGCGGCTGTGTAACGAACAACAAGGTAAATCAATTAAATCAGTTGGTTAATTCATTATTTAAAGTTATTATTACAAATTTTCACACAGCCATTAAGCCCATTAAGCCCATTAAGCATTAAGAATTAAGCATTGATAATTTCACACAATAGCTTTACAATTCGTTTTTACATTTTGTTGATATGAATACTATTTACGTAAAACTGGGACTAACAATCAAATATCATCCACCGTTTTATACTGTATTAATTTGTAAATTTTTCCGGTGATTTTGTGTGCCGATTTTTTGTATAAAATACGACTCGTTAACAGTCGTGCACACCAAAGCATTACAGCAATCCATAAAGTCATGACGTCTTCAAATGTAGGTTCGTCGGATGTTTCCGGAACATGCTCTAAGTAAATAAAAAAATTTTTTCGTTATTTAATTTTCATCTCATTTTATTTCATTTTATCTCATTTTGTCTCATTTTGTCTCATTTTGTTTCATTTTGTTTCGCCTTAGCTCATTTCATTTCATTTTGTTTCATCTTATTCGTTTCATCCTATTCGTTATATTTCATTTGTTTCACCTCATTTCGTTTCATAATTCATTTCATTCATAATTCATTCCATTATTCATTTCACGTTATTCATTTCATAATTAACTTTTGTAATAATAAAAAGAAAATAAAAAATGCTTACCTGTCTCTACAAAAATTTCAGTAAATTCTTCATTATCTTTATCATATACAACATTAAGAAATTCCTTTAGCGGATCAACATAATTCAATTCAACTTTATGAGCTACCGCTTTCAATGCCACTATGTTTGGTAAATGATTTTCTCTAGAATCCAATTTTACTGTGTGTCTTAAGAAAGAATAAAATCGTTTTACGCCAGTTAACTCTTTTTGAATTTGACCAACATGTGCCACATATAATCCATCAACACTGGTAAATTTGTAAATTGGGCAAAAACATAGTTGTTCTTTTGATAAATGAATGACCACTTCTTTATCTTTAGTTGGACTGATAAGTGTCAAGATCGCGTTTTGAGTTGCGTACGGTTCAAGGGATTTTCCTATATATGAAAGGTACCGTGCAACTAGAGAAAAATTTACATTTTTTGTAATTATTCTACTATATATATATATTTATATTTATATTTGACTTTACCTCGAAGACATGCAAGACGATAATATTTTCGTGCTGAGTTATGAATTTCATTAGTAAAATGAGGATCCATGTGCGAAAATGTAGAGTAAGACATTTCTCTTATAAAGGAAAATTTCGAGATTATATATAGTGTGTTGTGGGAATTTCATATTTATAAATATTTCGGGTTATTGACAATTTGACATATTGAATGTTTCCAAATGAAGTAGATTCCTGTCATTCCTGAATTTAAGTTTTGCGTGCATTTTTCAGATGTTCTGTAATCGATGATACGTAATGATTTTTTTTTTATTGATTTATTTGATATCAATATCGATATATATATACATATATACTTTTATATACTTTTATATTTATCGATGTGTATTTTTATATATAATAAATCAAGCTTTATCGTGATTTGTCCGATAGGAACACTTTGCCTAAAACCTGTATAGCCTGTCTATATGAATTTTATGAATTTCAGAGTTATAACAGGATGATCAGGTAAAAATCCTTTTTTTTTTAACCAATTGTAATATTTTCTTTAACTACAAACTCTTTCATTGTTGTACGTGTATACGTAATCAGGTAAATGGATTTAACTATAAAGAAATAATTTATATGATCTTTATTTGGTAAACAAAATTCTATCAAAAAAAAAAAAAAACAAAAAAAAAAACAAAAAAAAAAAACCTGATATTGATTATATCGGTATCGTGTATTTTTTTCCATTTTTTACTCAGGTGATCTAATAAATTTTGTTTAAAGAAATTTTGCTAATTTAAATTTATGTAAGGGAAGCTGCCTACCGTATATCGATATGATGTAATTTCAATGAAAAAATTGACTCCCATTGAATAAAGATTTGCATTAGCACGATATTTTTAATATCATCAGTTAAAGCGGTTTGTTCATTGATAATTGTCTCATACTTTTATTATGTTATTCATTACGTAAGGTGATAAACTCTATATAATAATTGCATGTGACAATTTCTAATAAACAAACCGTCTAACTACACTGATTATTAGTAAAATTTTGACATCCGAGTCTAGTCCGAAATCCCTATTGTGTTAAACTCATGATTGGGGATCATCATTGTCACTTTACGATAAATTCGGTATATCTTCATTAATATTGACATGTACTGTATTACGTATTGTATCTTTGAAATCATACAAATACTGTAATATTTTCAAGTCAAAATTCGAAATTAAATACATGTGGTTTATCACATTTTGATCTTTTTGATCTATCTGGACAATTTTAGGGTAACTCGAAATAGTGGTACGTGTCGATTAGCGTTAGTGTTAATAATTTAACTAAAACTTCTTTGGTAAATTATTGTTATTATTTAAATTACTATATATGAACCAAAATATACGTATCGGTATAGTTGTCAAACAAAGAGTTTTGCTACTAACTAAAGTTAAACCTTAGTTTTGAAATTAATAATAAAAGTAAACAAAATAAAAAAAAAACAAATTTACTATTAATAGTTTAGTTTATTTAGTTTAATTTTTTGATTATAAAATTTAAAACTTAAAGACTATATATATATTTTTTATAAACTTTATACAAATAAATTAAAAATACAAACAAACTTATATAGATAAAATATCTATTAAAATATAATTGCAGTAAGTTTTGAAATTTTGAGCAAAAATATCTTAACACCTGTTTAATAAAATTTAATAATTTTTTTATTAATTACAGTATATAGATAGTTATTAAAATATCTTTATTTAAAAGGAAAGTTATATTCATAACAC